ATCTGGGCTGGCCCAGACTTGTGCTCGGCGCCGTCTGCCCCTCCTGGCCGGGGCGAGGCCAGACGGGCAGGTTTGTGTCTCACTTCCCCAGGGCCCCGCGTCACCGTGGGCACCAATACTGCTACTCCCTGCAGCACAGAAGTAGGTTGCCTCGTCCTCAGCCTGGACCCCGCTGATGGTCAGCGTGGCCGTGTTCCCTGATTTGGCACCAGAGAACCGCTCAGGGATGCCCGAGGGCCGATCGTTATTGCTGTAAATGACCGTGACAGGGGACTGGCCCGGATGCTGCTGGTGCCAGGAAGCATAATAATTCCCAATGTTGTCTCCCTGGCAGGTGATCTTGACCGTGGCTCCCAGGGCCGCCGACAGGGACGCTGGCTGGGTCACCTCATAGGAGACCACTGGACCTGCAGAGGGAAAAGCAGAGGCTGACTGGACATGAAGGCCTGGCCCAGAGGAGCCTTCCAGCGCGGCCATCTTGGCCCAGGGCCCCTGAGCGCAGCAAACTCTCGTCGTGCTCAGCCTCAGCGAGTCCTGGGCCTGGCCAGGGGCAGGGGCATTTGAGCGAGCTGGTCCCCGACTTTCTCTGACAGCACAGCCCCCAGTCTCACACAGAGTGGTGAGCACAGTGGGGTCTCTGCCTACCACCCCCATCCTGAGCACAATCCTGAGCACCCCACAGCCGCCCACCAGCTCAGAGTCGCCGGCTGGGTCAGAGCACTGGGCGGCAGCAGAGACCCGGCCAGCACCTGAGCAGAGAGCCAGGAGGCCCAGGAGGAGACGGGTCCAGGCCATGGCGAGCTCTGAGCTGCTCCAGGCTGAGGCGGGCAGGGTCCCCCGGGCCTGACTTATCCCCTGTGGAGACAGCGGCTGGTATGCAAATCAGCCAGGCCAGGATGTTTTTGGGGAGCTCTGTGGCTAGGGGAGCCTCAACCCCAAGGGATACAAGTGTGGGGGTGTCAGAGGGTGAGGGGTGCTATTCTCTAGGGTCCCCACCCAGCTCAAGGACCCTCCTTCCCTGAAGGCACATGGTCTGTCTGACTCTCCTCCCCACTGTGTTTGGGCTCTCTGGGGGGCCGCCATTCCGGGAAGAATCGGGGTGTCTGTGTGCCCACATGGGACCATAGGTGCCGTCAGGGATATGGTGGGGGAGTAAGACACACCCGGGGGCAGCTCAGAGCAGAAGGGATAAATGTCCTCCTGGCATATCTCCATGGATCGGGGAGGTCACGCTGTTCCTCGCCAGGTGGGTCCCGAGGGCCCGGCCTGGCCCCAGAATCCCAGGGAGAGCTCGGAGCTCAGGGACACCGTGTGCTCCCCGGCAGGCTGGGGAATCCGGGAGACTCCAGCAGCTGCCGTGAATATTCACCCACCTCACTGTAGTGACGGCTGGGGAAGGGCAGAAGTAGCCACTGTCTCCGCTTGCACCAGAGCGCGGCCTCCGGGTCCGGGCCCTCACCCCGCTGATGGACGGATCGTCAGGCAGGACGGGGTCTGTGAGGAAGGGGAGGGGAGCTCCGTGTGACCTCGGGCAGAGGGTGAGGACAGCGAGGTCATTGCAGTGTGTGCTTGGTCACAGGAGTCTGGGACTAGGACAGGAACTGGCCATCCCAGAAGGCCACGGAGTCTGAAAGTGCTGTGTGAGTCAAGGTTGACCCTGGAAGGGAGCTGGTCAGCGTCCTCCTGGTCTCAGCCCTCCTGTCCTGTCTGGGTCTGTGACACCTGCCTGTGGCCCTCTCCTGCCCCCTGGCTGCCGCCCTGCGCTGCTGCAGGAGGCCGGGGCATCCCCTCAGGTGAGGCCCAGAAGCTGAGTCTCAGGTGCTGACCCCTGGCTGGGGCTGCTGACGGACCTGGGCTGCTGCCTCCTTGGCCCCTATGTCTTCAGATCAGCTGCCCCGGCCTCAGGTCACCATGAAACCTGAGCGTGACCCCCTAGGGGAGGCTGCCCAGGGCGCAGCTGTGACGCACCTGTAGGACATCAGTACAGGGGTCTGGGAGACCAGGATCCCCCAATGGCTGTTTGTGGCCAGCTGCGAGCTTATCTCCTGGGCCTCGGGTGACCCCACCCCCGACGACGGAACATGGGCCGGCAGCATTGTGACCGTACTTCAGAGGGGGACACGTTTCCTCGGGGCATACGGCAGGACACGCCATGGCCTGGTGGGGAGCTCCGTGTGTGCTGCAGCCGAGCGGCAGGCTTGGCCGCCCCAGACGCAGCCGGCGGTGCTACTCAGCTCCTGAGTGTTGGACCCAGCTGTCCACGGCTTCCTCAGGTGCACCCACCACGCAGCCGGGTCCGGGAAGCGCTGTAGTAGCCGACTGACCGGGCTCTGGTCAGTGAACATCGCTGTGAATTAGCAGTGTCACTGGGCTTAGACTCGAGTGCTCTAGAGTGGGACGTGATGGCTGGGGCTGCGGCAGCCACGCTGAGGCCTGATGTCCCCCAGGGCAAAACAACGTCTGCCCAGCGATGGGCGAATTGGCACGGGACAAGGATGAGGGGCCTCGTGGGGCGGAGGCTTCTCGGATCAGCGCCTCATCCGCACTTAAGCAGGAGAGACACGGTCCGGGTGGTCGTATCACGTCTCTGGAGGAGAAGACATGTGGTTTTCCGGCCTCGGACACGATGAACAGAAATCAGTGGCTGAGAACGACAGTGGATGATCTGCACTCAGACCCCTGGTGCCAGGGCTGACCGGAGCTGGGGGCTGTGTGGTGACGCTGCGGAAGCCCCTCGTGGAGAGAGGACTTGGGAGATGTGAGCTGGGAGGGCGGAGTAGCGGCGAGGTCTGCAGGAGCGTGGACTGGGCGCCGGCGTGGATGGGACCGAGGCCAGGTCAGCTCAACCCGGCCACAGCTCGTATCTGCCTCTGTCTGTGGACACAGGCGAGACTCATCTGTTTCTTTCTTTCCCTGAGTCAGGGCCGTGGAAGCACCGGGCAGCGTCATGGGCTGATTGTGGACGGGAAGCCCCGTCCAGACATGGGGAGCCCCGTCCTGACCTGGGGAGCCCAATCCAACCAAGGGGTCCAAGGCGGCGGAGCCCTGACTCCCCCTTGGCTACCCAGGGCCCCTTGGGGCCTCAGGTGGGGAGACTTCTGGTCTCCTGAGCTCGGCAGGAGCTCTGACACCCCAGCCTGTGCCCCAGCCCTCCCTGACCCTCATTCCCATCACGAGGCCGAACCAACCTGCCAAAGACGAAAATTTCCAGGGGGGACCTCCCCTTGGGCTGACTGTGCGGTGCAGTGCGTCGCCCCCAGGTCACCGCGTTCTCAGCCCTGCTCCCCCTCACCCCCATCACAGCGGCCCCGTCTCTGCCCATGGGGAGACGCTGCGCCTGGCCGAGTCCTGTCTGCGGCGCGGTCAGCTCTGGTCACCGGCAGCCCACGCTGCCGCCCGGAGCCTGCGCGGGGCCGGTGCTCGGGGTCGGGAACTGGCGTCTCTGAGGCGAAGGCCGAG